AACGTTTTGACGTTCGATAGACTGAATGAAGTTGATACAGATTTTGTGTGGTTTGATAGTGACTTGGAATGTTGAGTGATTTTTGTCTGTTGTGCAGGAAGATATCAGTTGATTACACATTATTCATGATGCTAACCTTAGATTTCTACGTATTGAGCTTTTACGAGTGATAGGATAGAATGGTCATTTTCTGATATTCTACTTGAAATCATACATGATTACAATACTTCTGACTATTTTTACTGTCATATGTCTATTTTTTGAACCTATGACGTGCGGTATCCTCGATGTTTGAATACTTTTACAGACGAAGAGAAGCGGACAAATATTCAATATCATTGCGACAGAAAAAGATTTCTCCAAATGGAATAATAATGAGAAAATGAGCTAAAAAAAATTGAACTAATTTTTCATGAGGAATGAGAATATTACCAAAAATACTTCATCATCAGGATCGAAAATGCCGAATCTCACTTCTACTTCATGTTATCGAACTAAATAAACCACCGACAATGATCTTAACACAGAGATATCGTATTTGTGAAAAAACACTTTTATACAAAAAATGAATTTAAGAAATCATTAGTCAGAATATCAAAGTTCAGACGACTTCACTAATCTGACCTTCCTAATATTACTAAAAAAGGGTTACATTCTCTCTTTAGATACATCTTTCACATGTGTAATACAACATTTCTTTTTGTTTAGGGCTGGTTGGTCTGTTTTTATTTGTGATAGCCATGTAAGTATAATTTAAGTTATTAATATTTAGTTCCCTTTCTATCCGACGAGGGTGTGGGTGTGGGTGTGGGGTGCGAGTGTGTGGGTGTGGGTGTGGGGTGCGAGTGTGTGGGTGTGGGAGGGTGTGGGTATGGCGTGTGTCGGTGTGAATATTCGACCTGTCCAAGCGTGACGGAATCACGTTTTTTCACTTTCTTTTCTCAATATATCAACACATTGAAATCGAATAACGCTGATTACTTTCGGAAGATACTTAAGCTGGACTGCTCTACACGTCATGAAAGGTTCATTGGATTTTGTCCTTCTTTTACAGTTTTATGATTTAAATATATGTCACAGGCAAATTTGAATTTTAGGCAAAATTGGTTTTTTTCAGCGCCTCTATGAATTTCAATTTTGACTAGACAGAATTCGTTCGTTTTTTATATGATTATTTTATATCATTTAATTACGAATTTCTTTTATTTTAATAAACTAAGTTTACTGGGCGCCAAATAGCTTTCAGTATTTTCTTTTGCAATATCAACAATGGCATTACAAAAAGCAAATTCTTCTCATCATAATAGTAATGATGTTGCACGTGAAAAATTTTACGAACTTGCTGAAAAACATATTGATGCATTAAATCCTAAATTTCGTAATAAAGCTGTT